ATCCATATTGTTTTGGGGGATAACGACATGTTTTTCTCCCTTTACAACTCATGTGTGCAGAATAAAGGCATTTGGTTGACATTTAATAGCTTATTTCTCCCAAGAGGTTTGTGCCCCTTTGGATATCTATGAAGTTTGAAACAGGTCTCTGCAATGTGTTTAGACATGATGCAATATGAACACAAAAGCTTGTTTAGCTTTAAAACATCATTTGACATAATAACATGCCATCTTACAATGATAACAATAATGTCTCATGGTTTGAGGTAGATCTTCTTATTGTTCTATTTGAATATTTAACATCAAAGGCTGGGTTATAGTGGATGTGATATCCAAAGATATTTTCTTACATTTATCTTCTTGTTAGGTAATTGAATATATCTCATTTAGACTAAGAAAAGACTTTATTAGTGATATCTAAGCCCTAATGGGTTTATATGACTCATTTAACCCCATAAGAAACTTCATCACGCAATCCATTTATTGATACTTTATTATAGTCTTTAAACCTCCTCATATAAAGTTCAAGATCAAATAATAATTTATTAACTCATCTAAAAATGTCTTTAGTTTTGAGAGGTAAACATTTATAATGTCTTGGTCTTGCATGAGGTCTACTATAACTTGTTTTATCTCATAGATCCTGGGAGCATTTTGTTATGCATATCTTTGCTCTAACTCAATATGGAGTCAATGGGTCATATCAATGTAGAATGTACAACACTTGGTGTTAATCGATAGTACATTATATATCCATGCAACGATGATGTCGTTACACTGCAACCAATATCTTATGAGAACATTGCTCGAATCTGTCAGTTCCTTTAAATTTACATATATGAGACGTAGGTCTAGTATGACTTGCTTTATCTCATAGATCCTGGGAGCATTTTGTTATGCATGTAGCAGCCCCGGAAATTTAAAATGGAATTTATATTATAAATATCAAATGCGGAAGCGAAGTTAAAATTTGAATAACATCCCTTACACTAAAACCAAAAACGTGCTCACAAAATATAAAAGATTAAACTACCTAAAGGAGAAACTTGAAAGTAAAAACTACGAATGTGACTATGGAGTCTTTAGGCGTCCCCTTCGTCGTCCTCCTGCGGAACCGGCTCGGGAACGATGTCTTCTTGATCTGAAATGATTAAATAAGGAATGAGCTACACTAGCCCAGTAAAGACATCACGATATCTCACCGTCACGGAGGTAAAAGCGGGTAGAAAACACAAAAAGACCAATGGAGCATAATTTACAACAAATCCTTTCATTAATAATAAAACCTTTACCATTCACTTACCTCGGTGAAATTCATAGAACAATATACGAAAGCAATAACATCATCATCGTCATGAAAACATATATATGAACTGTATAACATAATACCTATCAAACTTTTCGTAATTCCATCGTTACACAACATATTTTCCTAATTCACCAGCCGACTAGTATCCATGGGGATCCATAGGGGTCCCGCTACCCGTTAACCCTTAACACTTGAAATCATATTCCATGGTTGTCCCCATACCCCGTCCGGTATGGGCGCCAAACCATAGACCTCATTACCCCGTCTGATATGAGGGTGAAACGGGCCGTCCCCATACCCCGTCCGGTATGGGCACCAAAACACATAAGATCTCCATATCCCGTCCGGTATGGGAGACCACAATCCCGGTAGGGTTCCCTACGGACCCGGTCCGTCCACCATCTCCCAGGATATCTAGTCAGGCTGAACACATTATACAATTTCCATTTACATAATCTTTCATTCTGCTTTTCCCTCAGTCAGCATTATCAATCACATACAAACAAGCAAAACGATAATTTATGCCAAACAGACAACATACAGCATCAATATCCCGGTCATTCAATCCATAATCAATAAAACAGTAAAATATGCACACGAAACTATAAAATGAAAACATCGAACCTCATGCTGCATTTAAAACTGTAAAACATGCCAAATAACAATTAACCGACAAACACACTAGACTCGGGCTCCATTAGCGACCTTAAACAATTTCACACATTCGTTGATTCATGAAATACCGTTTTATCATTTATTAAACTTTAAAACCGTGATAGGAAATAGGGTGAGGGGTCCTTACACGTTTCGGGGTCCGAACACGGCTTCACAGTGCGCCTACAGGCTGTCCCTAATTTTCCCTGAATTTTTCTTGGGGAACTGAAACGCACTACTGGTACTTGCACGTGTTCCAAAAAAAATCCCAAATTAGGCCCAGGGCCCCTTTCGGCCAATATCGCAACTCCGGCACAGCGGCTCCGCCGTGCTCCGGCGACGGCGGTTTGCCTCGGGTTGTCCGTTTTCGGCCGTTTCCGGCCGAATTCAGCCACACTCGCATTGGTTCCTGCGATAAAACAACCCTACGGCCCTCGGGGGGCCGAAAATTTACGAAAAACCGAAGCTTACCGGCGGCGGTGCTCTCGGGTGCGGCGGCTCTCCTGTGAAGTTCGTGTTTTGGTGATTCGGCTCCGATCAACCTGTAGAGAAAAGAATGGTGATCACGGTGATATAAAAATTGCATTAAACGGAGGCCGGGAAGGGCCTCATCGGAGGCAAAAATCGAGAAGAGGCGCGGCAGCGCCGCTGGCTTTCAGCCGTGTTTTTCGGCCGTTTGGCCGGGATTTTGGCTCCGATTTGGCCACTGGGGAAATCAGCGTGGAAAAACGAGTCGGGGGTATGAAATTTACCTCTATCGGCGGTCGGAAATCCCTCCGGTGCGGCGGCGGGTGGCGGCGACCGGCTTCTGGTTTGTCTTCTCCGGCGAGGGCAGGCGGCTAGGGTTTGGGGTCTGGTGTGGGGGTCTTATTTATACCCTTTTGCCTTTTGATTTCAGCCGTCCATTTTGATTTAATCTGGGCCGTCCGTTTTTTATTAAATTTGGGCCGTCCGTGCGATTAAATCTGGGCCGTCCGTGCGCGCGATTGATCTGGGTCGTCCGATCGCGCGCACGCGGATCGCCAACGTGGTCCGTCCCCGGTCAACGTGGTTTTGCCACGTGGCAGGTCCTGGTTGGCCAGGCCTGCTGACTGGGTCTGCTGACGTGGCACGCGCGTTTTTTTTTTTTTTTCCTTCAATTTCTTCAATTTTTCCGAGCGCTACAATGCATATCTTTGCTCTAACTCAATTTGGAGTCGATGGGTCATATCAATGTAGAATGTACAACATTTGGTGTTAATCGATAATACATTATATGTCCCTGCAATGATGATGTCGTTACATTGCAACCAATATCCTATGAGAAGATTGCTCGAATCTGTTAGTTCTTTTAAATTTACATATATGAGACGTAGTTTGTTTTCGATTTGCAACACACATTTTATCAATTTAACCCATATGTGATAGTTGTTTACATCTAGTAACTAAATTATGGGTATCACTCTCGAGTTCTTGTTGCTTCTAATGTCGTACGAGCTACTTGCATGAGAAGAATCGAGAACATTTTCACTTAATAAGTAGGACCCTTGATAAATGAGAGAGTTCACCATATGATTTGAGTTCTTGCTTTCCATATGCTCCTTACCATGTAAAAACTTCCAATAAGTGGTAGAAGAAGGAAGATCTCCAAGAATTTGCAAAGGAAAACATATAGTAAAGGAACAAAACAATGCTAACATAAGAGAGACGATAAGTTGGAAAACCCTTATATGGTTCTTTTATTTTCTCTTTATTTCTCAATGCTTTCAATAATGAACAAATTAACTTATATACTTAGGTTAAAATGAAGTGCACATACATTGCATATACATCATATCTTATCTCTCATAACCCTAGAGAATATATATATCCACATATACATATAGTAGATGTGTAGGTCTTTTACGATTCACCGCAACCTGTTCAACCTAGGGGCTCAACATGTTGGCTTGGGTAATACGTATTTTGACATTTCTTAATAAAAAAATACAAGAATAAAAAATACTCATTTGTTTCTCTTGTATTAAAAATTCTTCTAATAATCGTAATAAATAGATTTCCTTTATTTACTACGATCTCTTTTTTTTTTTTTCTCTCAAAAGCCAAAATTACAACAAAAAAAATAGAAACAAAATTCTCAAGCTGTTGTTGTGGAGACACAACGCAAACAGAGAGAGTGATGAAGTTTTACCTACTGTGTTCTTTTTATATGAGGGAGAGATGTTGAAATTATAGACTGAGAAAAATAGCAAATGACAATTTTTTAAGGAGATTAATTTTTGATAGACTCTTTCTATTTTAATTTTAAATAACATGTAATTTTA